TATTACACACCCCCGGTGCCACATGGTATTTGGGGTTGTTAGTATTACAGCCTCCCGAGAGTGACTACCACTAAGCCGTGACCACACTAAGCAATATCTTTGGGAGGGGCCTTTAGAGCGGAACTGAATTCACATAGTGAAGCTTTGCCATGTTATAGACCAGTGGTGGCGAACCTTGGCACTCCAGCTGTTCCCAACATGCTTCTGCCTCTGGGAGTTATGTCTGTGGCTGTCAGAGCCTTGCAATGCCTCATGGGACTTGTAGTTCCCAAACAGCTGGAGTGCCGAGGTTCGCCACCCCTGTTATAGGGAGTATCTAGAACAGGGAGGGCCAAACTGCGACCCTCCAGCTGTGTGGTGAAACTACAAATCCCATGATGCATCTCTCTCCGGGAGTCGTGGCTGTGAGAATCTTGCAAAGCCTCATGGGATTCGTATATCCACCACAGCTGGAGGACTGCAGTTTGGCCATCCCTGATCTAGAGTAATTCCCTATTTGTGCCTGAGCATTACCTTGACAAATGGCCTTTTGCCGGGAATTACTCCTGAAACAAGTAGCAGAACGTTTGGTGGTGGTGTGGTGTGTGTGGTTAGGGGGGGGAGGAGAGGGGGGCGGGGGCAACATGCCGACTCGAATGGTGTTCTGTATTCCTAGTATGTGAGTGCGCCTGGGTACTCCTGCTCTGTAGCCTTATAGCTGTATATCTGCGGTCCGCGATCTAAGGCACTGCTACCTCTGACTGCTAGTCTCAGGGAGTGTCACTACTGTGCTGCTCACTGTTCTCCCTGCTGGAGTCTCTGATATCAGGACGCAACAAAGCCCTGCCTCTACCAAGATGGCCGCCTCCATATAGAAACAGTGCACAGCAAAGCTGGGGGGTAGTAATAAGGGGAAAGATCAGCGGCAGGAGATCGCAGGCCATACAGGTAGGCCAGGGGTGGGTAACCTCAGGACTCGAGCTGGGGTGGAACTACAAGTCCCATGAGGCATAGCAAGACTGACAGCCACAGGCATGACGGGATATTACAGTTTCGGCACAGCTGGAGTGCTGAAGTTGCTCACCCCCCGAGCTACTCTATCCAAAATCCAGCTGAAGATGCACTTTAAATAACGATGGATGTAAAACGGCGGCCCAGGTTTCCCAGCGTGGGGGGCGCAGGGCCATGGGATTTGGGAGTTTTACATTGGGGGGGGGGCTGACCTAAACTTTACTGCCAAACATGGCCGATAATTTGATTCCCAAAACTTACATCAGAAACATTTCTTTGCAGGGAAAGCGCCATTTACTGAGCAGTCCAGGGTGGCGCAGGAAGCGGCGTAGAAAACCAGAAGACGCCCAACAAGGTACAAAATGGGTTTCCGGTAGAAGGATTCCTGGTCGTCTCTGCGTAGAAAAGGAACGGCGTCAGGCGGCTTTCTCCCTGTATGTGTATTTTCTCTGCCATCACCAGTAGGAGTCATCATCTCATATAAGATTGTTTACATATTATCCGAAATATTCGGGGACGGGTCAGGAACAATCCTGTGTAAAAGGGGGGAGGGGTTACTTAGGGTGCCAACAATGTAGCTGCAGAGATGAATATATATTCCTGGATGTATATACCTTATAAAGGGACGCTGTCTGTTTAAAAGGTGGGGCTCAAAGCCACGCCCACCGGGGAAGCAGCCGTTGAAGATGTCGATTGAGAGTCCCTGCAGACCTCAAAAAAAGGATGTAAAAAAAAAAAAAAGGGGGTCCCTCAATCACCCCTCCCCGATCCGTGGACTCATCAGCAGGGGGGGGTTTAGGTGTCAATCAACTGCAGTCTGCTGATCCGATTGGAAGCTTTGGCGAAGGACTGGTGGCGGTTGCACAGCACGGCCAGGCATATAGGAATTATGCAGTAGCCCACGGTCCGGGGGTCGGCCCTGGTGCAGGAATAAAGGAACAGGAACACCTGGAAGTAGGGCAGCAGGAAGAGGGCGGCCCAGAGCCAAAAGGGCAGGGAGAGGAGCCGCGCCTTCAGGGAAAGCGTCCACGACGACCCCCCGCTCCCCGGGTCCGGCGGGTTCACCTGGACCTGCTCCAGGGCCAGTCTGTTGTACGTGTCGTTAATCTCAAAGACGTAGTAGAAGGCGGCGGCACTGGCGAGGAGGTAGAGGGCGACGCCAATCCATCCCATCCTCTGTCGAAAGTTCATCATTCTCCATGCTCTGCGCCTGCGGAACACAAGATACATGAGAAATATAATGTACAGACCCGGGGACTCAGCACAGGGATGGGGGGAGCCCCTCATAATGGGCACAGCAGGTGTGCAGACCCGGGGACTCAGCACAGGGATGGGGGGAGCCCCTCATAATGGGCACAGCAGGTGTGCAGACCCGGGAACTCAGCACAGGGATGGTGATCGGTCCCGAGACGCCTTCAGGCCCCCTCCCTCGGTCCCGAGACGCCCTCAGGCCCCCTCCCTCGGTCCCGAGACGCCCACATCTGACAACACCCTCCCCGTCCTGCAAACTCATGTGCCACACATCTCACAATCTAATTGTACAATCACCTTCAAATCCCCTAACTTATGTGGATTCCAAATCGATGGGCCGTATATGGAACGGATTGTCAGCCCGCTATTGGCCCTATAGGAGATTGTACAATCAGATTGCATCGTGTGTGTGCAGAGCTGAAACTTGATTGTCGGCTACCATATGTCAGCCCGCAGGCCTCTGCACACAGTTTTCTGGCCTCCCCCCTCCAATACCTGTCTCTCCCGCTCTCGTTGTCTCCGGTCCCGGTCAGGTGCTCCGCGGTCGGCTCCAGCACTTCCCTCTCATATCTGCACTCACAGAAGCTCCCTAGCCCCGGACCGGAAGTGGTTACCCATGCCAGAGACCGCAGCGGCCATACTTGCTGATGGCAGAAGAACTACCTCCTCTCCAGAAGCAGCCTTCCGGGACCGCCCACAAACGAGAAAAGCGGCGCTCACTGGCCAGACGCGGCCATACTTCCTATACACCCTGTGCGCCTTTCACCAATATGGCGGATGCAGTCTCCAGGATGACAGAGCAGTGAAGCGGAAATGACGTCAAACCAAAGCTGCGCTCAACCATGTACAGGGGAGGAGGTACTTCCGGGGTCTCTGTGCGGGGTGGAGGTCCGCAGCTTGCACAGGGGGAAGTTTTCAGTGACACTCACTGACCAATAATGACAGTCTGACTGGTATTGTTGGGTAATTACCCTGAACATTGTACAGGGGTGTGGAAATAAAAAAAATAAAAAACTACTTGCCCAACGACTAAAGTGGGGACCCAATCTACTTGTCCTAATACAAGAAATTACAAAACCGTAACAAGAAGCGCTTCTCATTGGTCAATGCGGTCAGGTGATCATGCCGACCAATGAGTGCTCGCAATTTGCAAACCAAACGAAAGTCATTGGCGCAGGCCTCATCGGACGGCTGTATGGGGTACAGATAGTATACCTGGGGAGGGGGAAGGACCGTTCACCCAAAAGGTAAGTATGGGGGGGGGTGTCCAGATTTGAGCGGGTAATTCCATTTTCCCAAATTACTTGGAAAAGTGAACCTTCCCTTTATTGCGTGTCAGAGAGTGCAACACCGCAGTTTGGCACACAACGCAAATACATTCCCTACATGCGTTAATCCGCAATGCGGGGGCGGCAGGGTTGGTTTTATTTTTTATACTTTGTCACTTTTTTTTTTTTTAACATTCTAAATTTTTATTTTATCTTTTTTTTTATATATGTATTTTTTTATTTTTTACTTTTTTTATCCCTTTTTAATTTTAATTATTCTTATCATTTTTTAATTTTATTATTTTTTACTTTATCACTTCATTTTAATTCTATTTTT